TCTCTTCAGATCGACTATAGTTCTTAGCTCATGTTGCACACTAAATAAATGATGGTTTTATGTGTGAAAATTTGATGCTTTTGTAGACTTGGTTCATACAAAGAAAAGACAAGAAAAAAGCAGGCATTAGAAAAATTCACAAAGAGCCAGAATCTGAAGACGTTTGATCCTGGAATAAGCAGCAGAATTTTAACTCACACTGTAGGGAGGGACAATTTGAGTTGTGTCATATGTATTATTTCAGTAATTAATATGTTAGGTGCATATTTTAAAAATTTTAAATAGTGTGAATCCCTAAGGTGATTTAGCAGTATTCATATAACCTGTTTTTTTAATCCCGAACTACACTGCACTATTTTCTAGAGTAAACGTGTCTGAACTTCCTAGCTGTGTCCAGCCAGCTGGAGAATAATCTCAGAATCAGTGTCCCACTTGAGCTTCTAAAAGAAATGGCCTTTAAGCCCATTAAATATTCCAAAGTGGGATATGGTGTTAATGTTTCCACTACCACTCCTCTCCCAACCCCACGGGAGGGTAATAGGGGGTGGTTACCAACTGGCACTTGAAACAAGAATGCCAGGTTACAGAATCTGTAATTAAATAAGTTGTGAAAGAAGAGGCACGGAGCTGATTATTTTTCTGTGAACAAATGGCATAGATTACCATCTTCTAAAGCATTATTTTCAGGGCTGAGAAATGCTGTAGTCAAGACTTAAAAGTGTAATTGTGTGGAGTTGCCTACGTCACTGACTGGGACAGTCTAGTGGGTTGTGAGTGAGCATCGGCCTCTTGCTGCCGCTTGTCCCTCCCTTCGAAGACTCCTTCACAGCAGCCACCAGTTCGGGCATAGTTAGTTACCAGTCAGGGTGGCGTCTGAATCCCTAGTGCTCAGCAGCTGGAGATCCAGATGCTCCACTTCTTCAAATCTCATACTTTAAACAGTGCTTTTAATTTATTTTTATTAGTATGTATTTGTGATGCATAATAGTTACATTCCTTTTGAGGAATAGGTGCATATAGGTGTCGGGAGCAGTGCTACATAATTTTAGGAAAAAATCATTTGGTTAGCCTAGTTCTCCTGCCTACAGCCCAACTATGGAATTCCGAGACATAATTCCAAAAGGCCTCCGGTCACAATTAAGACCTCAATGATCCGGTGATGCTGTGATTCACCAGGACAAGAAACATCCTGGGAGCTGAGAACATCCTGGGAGGAACAAACATCTACTCAGTTCCTCATTGTTCTCGGACTGTTACCATCTTCTTTATGCGGATGTACTGAACTCTCTGCAAGTCATTTGGTACATTTGTTTCTCCCGACGTACTGAGTACTGAATAAAAGGTGCGGTAAACTGGGGGCTTTCGTCTTTGCCGTCCAGAGCAGTACTGATCAGACCCAAAGCTCAGCTTCTTCTCAGACTCATTTTTCTACCTTTCCTTTTCTATGCCTTGTGCTGCCGTGGCTCGCAGGAGACTAGGACTTACTGCAGAGGTTCTAGTAACGTCCCCTTTCCCTGTTCCCTACATATAGGTATCAAATCTTGATCATTTTTACTCTTCTCCACCCTGCACCCCATCCCCTGAGAAATCATGGGACAATAGTTGCTGAACAAGAAAGCCAGGCTTTTCCTGCTTAGGCTGCACTTGACTTTTATTGTGTTACTTTGAGCAGCAGTAACATGGTAGGTGGTAGCTGAACAGGAATTTAATAAATCAACCATGTATTTTTACTAGAATAATACCCTAAACTAATAAAATTGATGCTTTCAGGGGAATTTTTGTTTTCTCTGCTATGTAATTGATGGTATAAAATGTATCTATAAATTCTAAATTAAAATAGTGGGCATGATTTAGAAATATCTAAAGAGGGCTGGGGTTGTAGCTCAGTGGTAGAGCATTTGCCTAAGCACTGAAAAAAATTAAGAATACATCAAAGTGCATAAAAATCAAACTTACATATACTGAATTTTTTATGTAGCAACTTTTAATAAGCTACTGTCAGCATCATTATTTCTCAACATACTCCAAAGTTATACCCCTCTTAGAAAAATGAAAAAACTTCAAAAAGTTTAAACATAACATTTTTTTCCCTCTAATTTACAAGCTAATACTTGTAATATTCCACAACTTGCTTTACAGGCCTGAGGGGAAGTACTGTTCCCATATCTCATGTGCACACTCTGAGCCTGCAAAGGTTGAAAATGCTGCCCAAGCTGACAGGAAGTGGCTGGTCTCGGATTTGAGCTCAGGTGTGTCCGGCTCCCACAGCCAGCCCTCTAGACGTCACACATTCAGTCAGCCATTCAGCAGAACACTGGATCTCTCCTCTGACCTGGTGCTATTCCAGCTGCTCACGATTCTGCCATGCACAAGATAAAATCTCTGCCCTTTTGGAACTCACACACTCAGTACGTAATTAAGTTTCAAAAGAAAGTATAGCAGGGCAAGGTGATAGTGAACGGTAACTTTATTGTGGGTTTATTTAAATGAAGATTTCAGGGACACCTATCCAAGCAGAGACATCGAACAGGAACCTGGAACAGGAACCTGAATGATAGGAAAGACAAGCCCCCTAAGGCTAAGGAGCAGATTCTGACTCTACTGCTTAGTAGCTCTGTGATTTGGGCAAAACCCTTGACTTCTGTGTGCCTCTTCCCTAGTGGTACAGCTGTAGTGCTGATTTTACCTCTTAGGGCTGTTGTAACAATGCGATGAGTTCATATACAAAAAAGAAGATACTGGTATATATTAAGCCTGCTTTAAGTGTTAGCTGATATTATCTAGGCCCTATGGGGTGGGAAGAAGTAGCTGGTTTTTGGATAGATTTTGCAAATGCAGATGGCAGTATATATTGAGGAATGAATTGGATATGGAGGGATGAGGAAGAGGAGTCAGAGATGACTCCAGTAATTTTGGTCTGAATACTTTGGATTTGGGGGCATTTATTGGACTGGGGGAAGATATGCGGTATAGTAAGCTTTTTTTAGGGGAGAACATAGTGGAGAGTAGATGTGTCAAGACAGATGCTTCTTGATGTGTTCATGTTGTGTGTTTGTTCATTGTAGAAAAGGTGGAAAACGGATGAGCGTTGAGAATCATAAAGACTTCGCATTCTACTAATTTTTGCTTAAAGTTATTTTTCCCTTACAAAGTCTTAGGTCATACAATCCATACAGGTTTTGTTTTATTTTTTGAAAATCATATAAAGTGTAGTTTATTGACAAATGGCTCACAGCAGAGGGAAGAGTTAAAATCTAGGAAAGATGATAAAACCCTAGCACTATAAACACTCACCACACATCCCTGCAGACTGCTTGCTGCTGCTCAGTACCTGTCTCGTAGACATCCCAGGTTCATGAAACAGCCCGGCCTGTGACAGTTAGCAGGTAGAGTAGTTTTAAGCTGCAGTTTTTTTCATTATGGTAAAATATACATATGACCTAAAATTTACCATTTTAACTGTTATAATGCTCAGTGGCATTAAGTACATTTAGCCTGTCGGGCATTCATCTTCAGAACCTTTTTCATCTTGCAAATTGAAATTCTACCCCTACTAAACAGTAACTCCCTGTTCCCTTCTATCCTGGCAACTCTTCTACTTTCTCTTGTTATAAATTTGACTGCTCCAGGTGCCTCATATAAGTGGAATCATTTGTCCTTCTATGACTGACTTACTTAACTCTTAGCACAGTGTCCTCAAGCTTAACCTATGTTGTAGCATGTCAGAATTGTCTTCCTTTTTAAGGCTGAATAATACTCCATTGTATATAGAGGCCACAGTTTGTTTACCCATTCATTTATCAATGGATGTTTGGGTTGTTCTGCCTTTGGCTGTTTTAAACAGTGTCACTCTGAGCATGCCTGTGCAAATGTGTTTGAGTTCTTGCTTTCAGTTCTTTTGGGGACATACTATATGTAGTTTTATAACAGGCTCTTTATATTTAAAACTTTTTCAGTTCCATGAATATTTCTCTTGTTTTAAATAATTGGATTATATATTATCATAAAGCTGTGTCCTGATTGACTTACGCACTCAAGTATTGTTTCCTAGAATGCAACTATAATGTCAAAGGGTATAACCAATATTAAAGGTTTTGCTCTATTTGCAAAATCGCCGCCCAGAAAGCTCATACCCTCTGATCACTGCCAGTATGTGAATGTGTTCTCTATACTTTTGCTAATACTAAGTATTAACTGTTTTGTCCAGATTTGATAATTGAAAATGGTATATCAGTTCTGATGTTGCTTCTGCCCAAATTTAGGATTCACTTGCTGGGTTAGAGTTTATTTGTAGCTAATTACTGAGAGAAGCATTAATTTGGTTAAACTCAGTTTATGAGATGGTGAGAGGGGATGATAGTTTATGAAGTCCTTCCTGCTTTTAATTAGTCTTTCATTTTGAGGTAATTAGCTTACATTTTACTCTGCCTGTGTAGGCAAGTGCTGTGATGATGTTTGGAGTGCTGTTATTGTGTGTTGAATACAGTGCTCGTTACATTAAGCTCATAATTCCTTACAGTTCAAATATCCTAAAGGTGCTAGGAGTTCCTTTTTTGGGGTTATAAAACTTGATAGATTTGAGCTCATTTGATGAAGAACCTTGACCTCATTCAACACAATACTGTATTTTTTTATTTATTCCCTTCAGTAGATATTCAAATGTTAGGCCTCAAAATGTGCATGTGTTTGCATAAGGGATGTTGTTGCAGACCATATATGCATATGATTTATTTTGCTTTCAAATTCTGAAAAATGCTGAACTCTCAGAGGTAAAGGTTTTGACATGAAAGGTTTTGAATAAAGGAATGTAGACCTATAGTTTTTTATTTGTTTGTTTTGTTTTATTTTTTCCTTTCATTTTTGTGTTCTCAGTCCTCCTAGGCTGTAAAACCTGATTTTGAAAGCCTACTTTAGTAGGCTAAGCATGGAGTTATGACTCAAATGTGCTTTGAGTTTATAGACAATAGGAATTTAAGAGTGTTGTCTTCTTTCATCCCCAGGAGTTGTACAATCACAATAATCTTGGTGCTGACAAGTCGGTGGCTAGAACCAAGGTTGGCCTGAGCCATAGCCAACTTCAGACTCATAGCGGTGTTCACCTGGGAGCCCTGAGCATCCTTGGAGACCTGAACCACTTGGATTGTGACCACTTTTCAAAATGCTTTTGGAACGCATTTCTATAATTAATAACATTTGTTCTTTATAGAATATCAACTGTTTAAGCCAAGCTTTCAAAAACAATACCAAATTGGGAAAATTAAAAAACATTATTTTTCAGTTATATGATGGATTATTTTTATTTTAAAAATCTGCTTATTAAATGGTAGGAGTTGCAGAAAGGTAGAAACTGATCCTCAGACTCATATGGAATTATAAGGGGCCTAAGTAGCCAAGAACAAAGTTGGAGAACTCATACATTCTAATTTCAAAACTTACTACAAAGCTACAGTAATCAAAATAGTGTGGTCATGGAATAGAAGTGAGAGTCCAGAAATAAACCCACACATCTATGGCCAGTTGAGTTACAGATACACTGAATGAGGAAAGAAGCATCTCTTCAACAAGTAGTACTGTGACAACTGGATTTCCACATACAAAAAGAATGGAGTCTCTACCTCATGTCATATATAAATATTAACTCAAAATAGAGCAGCAACTCAGTGTAAGAGCTAAAACCATGTAACTTTTAGAAGACAGCATAAAGATAAATCATTATGACTTTGGACTTAGCAGTGGGGTCTAAATATAACACCAAAAACATGAACAACAAAATAATTTTTAAAAATTGAGCATCATCAAAATGAAAAGTGTTTATACACCAAAGGATATTGTTGAGAAAGTGAAAAGACAATTTACACAATAAAAGAAATATTTGGAAATCATGTATCCCTTGTCTTTACTATCCAGAATATATAAAGAATTCCTGTGCTTAACAAAAAGACAAATGACTTAGTTTAAAAGTAGGCAAAGGACTTAAAATCACATTTCTCCAAAGAAAGTATAAACATGGCCAGCAGCATATACAAAAATGCTCAACATCACTTGTCATTAGGGAAATGCAAATCAAAATCGCAGTACCACCTCACACCTACCAGGATGGCTATTATTTTAAAAACCACAAAGATGAGAACAAGTATTGATGAAGAAATGGAGAAATTGGAACTGTTGTGCATTGCTGATGGGAATGTAAAATGTTGCGGCAACTATGGAAAACAATTTGGTAGTTTGTCAAAAAGCTAAACAGAATTTTTGTATGACCCTACAATTCCTTTCCTAGATTTATACCCAAAAGAATTGTGAACATGGACTCAAATGCATACTTGTCTGCCAGTGTTCCTTGCAGCTTTATTAGTATTAACTGAATGGTGGATTAATCAAGAGTACATCAGCAACTGAATGGATACACAAAATATGGCTTATGTATATAATGGGGTATTATTCAGCCAAAAAAGGAATGAAGTTTTGCGAACACTGAGCCATGAAATAATGCCAGAAACAAAGGAACAGATATTGCATTAGTTCACTTCCATGAAATATCTAGAAAGAGGCAATGTGTAGAGTCAGAGAAATATTAGAGGTTGCCAATGATGAGGGAAGTGGAAAAGGAAACTGCTTAATGGTTACAAAGCCTTTGGGGTCATTAAAAATGATTTGGAGGTAGTGGCTGTGAAACAAAAATGTGATTATAATTAATGCCACTGAATGGTGCACTTACAATGAGTAAAGTTGCAAAATTTATTATATATATGTGTGTGTGTGTTACTGCAATATAAAAGATTATTAAAAAACTCACTGTGACTCTTATAGCTTTGCAGTATCCATTGGGTTTTTAAGTAAAAGCACTAGCTAATCTGACCTGGGATGTGGAGACAGGGTATCACAAGTCACTAGGTTGCTGAGGGTGGGCTCGAACTTGTGATCCTCCTGCCTCACCTTCTCAGAGTGCTTGGATTACGAGTGTGTGCCACCATGCCTGGCTTTTATCAATTTATATTTAACATCAAGGTGTCCTTTGGATTATTCGTAGTAGCTCAAGATAAAATTAATATATTAATGAAATTGCCTAATTTTGGAATTAGGTTCAGATTCCCATTGAATCTAACTTCTAGTGGTTGACTTGAGGAAACTAAAAACTTTGAGTTATTATTCATCATCTAGGAAAACAACAAAAATAGGATTAAATATGGTCATTCAATATTATCATGCAAAAATAATGTGCTCACACATGTGTAAATACTGAATAGTTTCTCTAGTGTGAGAAACTGAAAGTGTAAATAAGGACTAAAAGGTATAATAGATAATGTGAAATTGGAAGAAAAGGGGCAAAGGGGAAGGGGAAGTGGGAGGGGTAGGGGAAAGGAAAGAAGGGAATGGAATTAATATGAGAAAATGAAAAAATGGAAACAAAGTCTTTGTAAATAGGGAGGGATGGAGGGGTTGAAGGGAGGGCAGGGGAAGGGGGAAAAAATAAGAACCAAGAGACTATGTAAAGGTGCATATCTCCAGTGATGAATGTCATTATGTTGTACACCTAAAATGTACCAATAAAAGGTTATACAAAAAAAAAAATAATGTGCTCAGTAAATTTCCATGTTTGTTTCTTCCCATTTTTCTATGTACATGAATTTAATTTATGTTTAGTTTTTTTATGACATGCTTTTAAATTTTTATTTTTATCTTGGCACAACTCTGTGAGATCACCAGGGAAAGTAATATTATCAGCTTCAGGTAAATAAACTGAGCACTGCCCAGGATCATGTAGCTAAGGAGTTGTTGAGTCAGGACTTGAACCCAGTCAGTGCCCTTATGCATGCCTGGTGCCCTTTGCTACAGGCCCTGGTATAATTTTGCCTGCTGCTGCCACTCATATATTCACTGTGCTCATTTCTGTGGCAGTCAAATGTAATAGTAAACAAGTCATCTGGACCCAGCTCCTGTCCTGCTGGTGTTGCAGGTTAGATAAAGTATAGATGCCCTATTCTGCTTACCTTCATTCCTGGGGCACTACTTATCAGGCACTTTGGTTTTGATCTCTGAATTTCACGAGATTGTTTTGTGTTTTTCTGATGGACAATAGACTTTCTAAGTTATGAAATTATAGAAAATGGCTCTTTGTATTGGCCAGTTTATATTAAAGTCTCAATCAGCTTTGCCATACAGGTTATCTGTTTTGCAATTGGGATAATAAATTTTATTACTGCATTCTAATTGGCAGGCAAGGAATCATATGAACTGCAACTTTCTGATGAGGTTCCCAATGTCCTGTTATTAATCCATTAATGCGATTCAGCCTCTAGATATTTCTATTTGGCCCTTCATTTTGGATTGCCAAACAAAGTCAGAACTAGTACCACCAAGGGCTTAATTGTTTCACTCTTACTCCACTAACTGCATTAAACCTTATTGTACATTAATAAGATTTTTTTAAATGCTCTCTATTACTTTCATTTTAAACTAATTGTGAGGTGTTTAATTTTATTTCTCTTAAATTTAGGAAAAATAGATATTTAGTGGGTTTATTTTGACCTAAATCTTGAAATATTTGATTTTTACCTAAAATAATCCAGTTAGTAGCACAGTGGACTCTTGACTTAGGAACTCAATCAGTTCCTGAGGCTGGTTGCAACTCAAGTTGGTTGTAAGTCAATAGAGCTGAGATTTGGATGTTTACCTGGGTATGGGCTATAGACAACAAGAGGCAGATGAATCTCCCATTAACCTAATTAACCCAAGTTGTTTGTATGTCAGGCTGATCGCAACTTGAGGGTCTACTGTATTCTTACAGTACTCTGTAAATGTGTCTGGCCTGCTGCTTATAAATGATACTGAAATTAATATTACCCATGTCTTGAATTCCTTTCATCAAGAAGAGACAGCCTTGTCTGGTTCTTTTTGGTATCCCTATGGCCTTAAAACACAAAGTCAGTGCAAAATATAAAGTAGTTAATGAATATTTGTTGACCCTGACCTTGAGTAACCCTTTCATTGTCCTTCATACAAAATGCCATTGACCAAAATGTTTTTCATCATATTAGAATAGATAGTTTTCATTTCTCTAGTCAGCCTTTTGGTGAACAGACAACATAGAGGTCCCAAATACCTTTTTATGTTCCAAGTCCTGAAATTAAATTCATTAATGCTGATACTGTTCAAAGTAGTACATCTGGGCCGGGGATTTAGCTCAGTGGCTCTGGCGGCTGGTTCGCAAGTGCAACGTCCAGAGTTCGATCCCCGGTACCAAAAACAAAAAAAATCAAAGTAGTACATCTGCTGTATAATATAAGGCAGAGTGACAGTGTTAAAATACATTTCAAAGTATTATATTAGGGAAAAATTATGTAAAAATAAAATAAACATTTCTGCCTTTTTAGCATTTCCCCCTAATTCTGTTTTGATAGAAAAGTCTCAAAGTGTCACTGCAATTTTGACTATTTTATTTTTGTTAAGAAATGAATTTTTTCAGCTGTGTTAGATTACCAGAAATGAGAATGTCAAACATTTGCTGGAGCCCCTTGGTAGTGAAATGTAATTATCATATTAGCATCATAAATCATTTGCTTCTCAGTACTATATTAGGTCATGAGAGTAACAGCTGTGGCTTTGTTCTACCTAGATGATGTTTCAGTAAAACCATTTCTGTTTCTATTCACTCAAATTTACAGTTTCTTCTTTGTGTTAACATTAACCACTGAATGTATTATTTTCCATTACCAAAAGAATAACTAAAATTACAAATAATTATTTTTTCTCACAAATCCTTTCAAGCTGCATAGATAACCTTTAATTCGATAGGACATCTGTGTAACACATCTTGTTTCTCTTCTGTCTTTAGGCAAAATGCATGCTTTTTAAAGCCTCTTCCTCTCAGTCAACTATTGCAATTCTTTCCTATCTTTTGACCTCAGATACAGTACATTATAAACAGAATAGCTCATCATATAGGAATCCAGATTAGATGTCAAAATGAAGTCACTTCATCAGATTTATAATCATGTAAAAAATAAATGCAATATTATGTTTTATTGACTTGCTGGTTCTGCCATAAAGCATCATAAATACCACTGATGTAATTTCTTCAGTATCTCTCAGTGCTATAAAAAGGTTAACTCTACTCTTCCAGATGTAAGCAGACCTGCACAGCACCAGCTTAGAACATTTCTTCTCTTAGCCAAGTGTATATACTGGTACGTTTGACCAAGTTTTAAGGGTGGTCTGCAGGAATATAATTGTCTTGGACAACTGTTGTTCTGCTGTTGGAGTAAGCTTATTATGTTAAAAGTCTGTTAAGTTTAACAGACTATGTTGAAATTGCCATTGGCCTCCTGGAGTTTTCAGAGGCATGCACCTGAATTTTGTCCTTCGTTTTCACTCTTCAAGCCTTGGTTCATCTAATTTGTTCCACTTCTGCGCTGGATTCCATGTACAGCTCTCTGCTGAATTGAATTTTTCAGAAAATTTAGTCCCTTGTTTGTACTGTCATTTCTACCAGGTTTTTTTTCCAGGTCATAGGAAGCACAAAGATGTAAGTTAAGTGGACAGATAAAGCCCCCTCCACTCCAATTCAGTGTGAACCTAAAAGCTAATGGAGATTCTGGAAGATTTTTTAGTGAGATGCCCATTATTATTATTATTAAATCTTAGTGAGATTTCCAATTATTTGGTAATTGAATTGCCTCAATTGTTGGTTGATTTGTACACAATCACTTAGAGATCTCTTATCTCTTCTGTACATGCTGAGCTTTCTTCTTTTGGGCTGCTGAAAGGAAGAATTTTTCTGGATCGGTAGGAACCCAGCCTTCTCTTTCACAATAGCCTTTAATGGATTTAAAAAAAAATAATGTGTATGGGAAAAATGTCACTAGAAAGCTAAGACAACAGCACACTTAAAAAAATTATAAGCAGTTTCATTTAATACTTCATATTCAAACTACCTTGTTTTAAAAAAATAATTCCTTTACAGCTGCGTTGTCCAAATTAGGCCCAGATGAAGACCATGGTTTTTTTAATGAGTCCTGTGTCCCTTAGACTCTTTACCCCTTTAACCTTGTTGTTTTTCCTTGGCATTGACTTGAGGCTTAGATCTGTTGATGAATGAGAACATCTAAATTTGTTTAAACATTAAATGATATTTAAACTTAAGTATTTAATATTTAAGAGTATTTTCCTAGATAGCCAAAATTATATTATCCCAATGTCAACAATAATTCCATAGTCCCCTTCCCCCTCTTATGTGCTTTGCTCTAGATAGTGCCCGGGGCCTTCCACATACTAGGCAAGTGCTCTACTGCTGAGCTATTCCCCAACCTGAAATTTTTGAAGGAGTCTTTACATCTGTGTATCCAAACCAGAACTGCACACTGTATATGATTGTGTATTTTGTTTTCTTAGTGGCTTTTTAATCTGGAACAGTCCCTTTTATTCACGTCAGTGTCTTGTTGACAAGACTAGTGTCTTGCAGAATGACCTACCTCTGGATTTGTTTCCGTTCTCCCTATTAACACTATTTGTCCAGTGTAGTAGCTACTAGTCACATGTGGCTCTGGACCTTTGAAATGTGACTAGTCTGCATTGAGATGTGCTGTGAGTATAAAATACATACTGGATTTCTAAGACTCATTCCAAGATGAAAATGTAAAACAGTTCACTAATCATTTTTAAAATATTGATTATAATATTCAGATGATAATTGGAATCATGGATTAAATAAATTTTACTATTAAAATGAATTTCATCCATTTCCTTTTAGGTTTTTAAAGCATACTAGCAAATTTTGTTTGGCTCCCATTATACTTCTGTCAAATGCTGCTTTTCTAACATACCAAAAAAGAAAATTGTTACCCCAAAATGACTCCACATCAGTTCCTTGAGTTGTAACAGGAAGAACATCAGTGGGCTAACATGTTCCTTAGCGAGACTTTTATTTAGTTACTCTGTGGAAGCTAAGTGATTTTCCATGCGAGACCTGGGCTAGGAAATTTTAAACCCGATGTCCTGCCAGCATTGCCCAGTGGTTCACATAGCTGCTGAAGATTGTCTCTCACAGCTCAAGTGTTAAAAAATGTAAAGCTGTAGGTGGGCCACACATTCTAAATATAGTTGCTCTCAGTGTCGTGTATAGCCAGTGAAAGCTTGTGCTTACTTGTCTGCTTTATTTATTTGTCTATTTATTTTTAGTGTTGGAAAACTTGGAGCAGACAATTGTCTCTAATTGCGGATCACTGGAAAATCAACAGGATTTCCGAGCCCCAGAGTTTGTGAGTACAACTACTTTATCTTAAATTTATATTGGTTAGGCAGAGATTTTTCACAAAATAGGGGAAAAGTTTTATTTAGAGAACTGTTCTGCAGTGGTTCCAGGTCTGGTATAAGATCTGGTGACATTGATTATCTTCAAAGCTGTGGTGTCTCTAGAGAATTAGGTTCCGAACTGCAGCATCTCAGCATCACGCACTCTAGGCTTGATCTATACACTCCTCCTGTAAATGCAAATGGGAACTTACTGTGCAGTAAAACAGCATCATCTTTTCAAAACTCCCACTTCATTCACTGATACTACGACTGATACTTGATTCACTCATACTGTTGCTATTTCTGCTGTTAGTAACTCTGGAAACTCATTGTCTTTACTGAGCACATACACATTGACTATTGTTAGTCAGAATCTATAATGGACACAGGCTAACTCTGATTTCCTTTTGGAAATCATACAACCTTGTAGGACTAGGAATATTCTATTAGTTATTCCTACCAAGAAGGGGAACTAATGCTTCCACTCAATTAGACTCATTAAAAATTAGCCATGGTTCCTACCCTTCAGGAATTAAAAATCTTATTAGATGCTACTGTGATTTTTATTAATGCCTTGTTTAAAGAAAATTAAGTGCGTAGGATGCCTTGCAAAATATCTTTAGTAAGTAGATTTTATATTAGGCTCATATGGAGAGAGAGGCTGTGCCATAGTATTGCACCAGATATGTAGGAAAAGCGTGCCAGGATCCATCTGGATTGACCGATTTTTGTCCTTGCTACAAAGGGCTTATTTACCAATTATGTTAGCAATGAAAAAAATTTGGGGGGGTTATTTTCAAAGTCAAATATATAATTGCCACTCCAATAATTGGCAGAGCATGATTTGTATAATAACTGATGAAGACTGATCTCATTCTGTGGTTTTCTTCTTAGTGCCCACTCAGTTCAGCAAATAGTCAGGAAAGCAGACAGTGCTCAGGACTGAAAAGGCTCACATATAAGGCTGTATCCATAATACTCTTTTATTTCACAGTGTGGGGCTCCTATGGCATGCTCACAGATTGCCTACTGTGAAAATCACTTAGATGTAATAGACATAGTATTCAGTGACTTCCTTATTATATTCAGTGAGATTTTCAGTGAAGGAAAATTAAGAATGTAATTGTAACTGCTTTTTATTGATTCTCTTTGGGCTACATAACCTAAAAAAGAGCTGTGTTCAGCAAGGTGTTGGTGTGCATGGTAAACATATATGCAGTTCATACTGATTCCTTATATGAAAATAAAAGGAACAGATTCTAGCGTATTGTGGTGTTGGAGATAGCATGCCTCAGCAATGTCTTCTCCACAAACAGTGAAGTGGAGATATACTGATAATCTTCCACTTTTAAATTTTGATTACTTCTACCTTTAGCATTGATTTCTTGATTACCAGATTTTTATTTTGAAAGTTTGAAGTCCGCCTAATCCAAGGTAGAACGGGCAGTAGTAGAACTCAGGATCACAGAATACATTTACCCTTTGTGCAACTTATTTTAACAATGACTTTGAAGATGCCCAAGTTAGGAGATTCTTAGGCTCAATTCTCACTTTTTAATTTTTCACTGTCGTGCTGCAAGAATTATTGAAAAATCATTTGCTTAGCTACACCAGTGGAATTGAAAGCCTTTGATCACAATTACTCTGCATGTGTAGTTGATAATATATTTCTATATTCTGGCTGTTATCTTTGTCTAATTGTATGTTCATACCATGTTCAGGGAGGAATCTGTGATTTGCCTTGTGCCTTATAGATTTTCACACCTCTGTTGCTTATTACACACCACTTCTTTGTGTAGCACTTAAATAGCCGCATCACCATGGCAGAGTACTCCGATCTTACAGTAAACACACATTACCCATCACTGTCTCTATAGCAAACAAACAGAAGGTGTAGAGGTGGTCCCTAGAGAACAGGGTGCTCCAGGGGATCAAGTCTTATATTTAAGACTAATCCTTTTTGTGGGCAGAAGATTACAGCTTCAGTGCAAATGATGGCACCACTCATGCAGGCGGCTGGCGGGGCGATGCCAGGACAAAGTCAGGTGAGTTGATCCAGACCAGATTTTGAAATCAGAAATGCAAGTGACAGTATGAACCCAGGAGCCAAGAGATCCCAAAGGCAAAGCAAACTTATAAACAAAAGACTGGGAAGAATAAAAGGAACTGAAAAATCAGTGTTCTGTTTTTCTCTGTCTGGGATTTTGGAAAGTCCAACTGTAGTTTACTAAGTTGAACTGAAATAAAACAAGGCCAAGACTGTGTTTTTACTCAGGCCTTGTCCTCAAGTAGTTCAGGTTTTAGAAGGATCCAGAGCCTAGTGTTTTTATGTAACAGTGTATTTACATAGTTTGGCCAACAGGGAGAATAAAATGCTTATCATTGTTAGTTTGTTTCCTTAAGAATTTGTTTTTCTTTCTCTTGAAAAAAGACCTGGGGAAGTAGTACCATTTGAATAGCTTTGGTCATTGAGTTCACAAACAAACTAAAGTTTTAAAGCCAGTACTGGTGTAGCATCTGCCTCTTGGTGTTGGGCAGCATCCGCACTCAACTTTTCTCTTGTTTGCTGCAGAGTTTCTTGATTATCTGCTGGCGGCCCAGCTGCATCACTTTGCTCCACCTCCCACCCTCTTTTGCAGTCCAAGTGAATGTTAAGGTGTAAACAGAGTTGTGGTTGTTTTTGATTCTCCATAGCTTGTGAGGAGCTGGAAACATGTCAGAACTAGAAACTATGTCTTAGACCTGCTCTGAGGTCAGGTGAATGTGTAGGAGGGAGTCAGAGTACAAGGAATCTGGCAAAATGCTGGGATCACAGAGAGTAACTTGGTGATCTTGTTATGATGAAAACCATCTCAATCATTGTTCAGTTTTTTTTTAATATAAGCACAATGAAAATGTTTTATAACGTGTTTTATTAATATTTTATAATAACATGGTATCTTAATTTTCTTTTGGTATTAGCTTCACTATTATTTGCTTCTCACTATTAATGAACTATAATTTGTCACATAATTTTTGAAACCAGTCAAGGGAGACCTGGTCAGGGAAATGGCAGCATGGACAGACCCTCTGGGAGCATGTGGGTAATGGCTATCATTTGGGGGCATGCATGAAAGTAGACTTTGTACATGGTGATTCAGGAACTGAGTCTTAGATACACTGCAGAAACAGGCTGTGTGGTTGGGACTTTTGATAGGGAATCATCCATGTGGTGATGGAGCAGAGGAATGTTCTGCAGCATTGTTGTTTGCAGATGTAGGATATCAGCCCCAACCCTCAGCTCCTCAGGGCTCCCTATCTTTGGTCTGAGGTGAAGAGCAAAGGAGATGTAAGACATCAGTTAAGAGTTAGGTAGTCAACACTGGCCCCAAAGACTAGGTTCACTTCAGGTCTCAATGGGTTGAAAAACTAGAGGGACCCTGACTTTGTTGGCACTGACCAAGCACTCAGAAGGGAATGAGAGTTTGAGCACACATGGGGTAAGGGCGGTGTTCAAGAGGATTATGACCTAGCAGCATTGGATCTGCTTGCAGCAAGCAGGGAGATACTGCTGTGGGTAGAAACCAGGCTGTGGTCAACATGGAAGGCAGGAGAGGCTAAGGAATTGTTTTATGATCTGAATCTCACTATTAATACCTTACTTTCCCAGCCTTTGCAGAGCTTGAAGTTTACATATGACTCTCTTGACTTTTTAGAAGCAAGAATATTCTTATTACCTCTGATCTCATGCCAGTTGATTTAAAAAAAATGATTTAGCTTCTATCAAATTTGAAGGAAATAATAGAGTTTGGGATGACAAAAGAAAATTAGGATAAACTGAGGAAGATAAAGAGAAGCCAAAGGATTTAGAAAGAATAGAGAGAGAGACCCAGAAACGGGAGTCTTAAAGTGTAACAAATATATATACCCTTAATTAAGCATCATGTTTACTCATAGAGAGAGGCAAAACTGAAGAGTAATTATCCCTATTTGGGATTTTAGAGAACTGGCTGCTTTTTTGAGGGAAGATACTACTTCATGGAGAATATTATTCCCTGAATTTCAAATTTAACTATCTTCAGCCAGGTGAAAATACATCTGATCCTAAGGAAGATCTCAAGGAAAAGTATTAATTCGCTCAGCTGATGTTTATTTGATATCTACTATTTTAGGCTTTAGCATACAGAAAAAATACTGGTATTTCTGATATATTTTGGTGGGGAAGACAGTAAAACAAAGTCAATAAAATACATGTCAAATGATAAATCCTTTAGAGGAAAAAAATACGATTGTGTGAGAATGGTGACAATTTTAATTAAATAGGGTGTTTAGGGCATAGCATCTCATTTAGAGGGTGCCAAGTGAGAAGACTTGAAAGTAGTGCCTGGAACAAACTGTTTAGAAATGCAGAGAAATGGTTCCACCGCGTGCCTCCCAAGTGCAAGGTCCCAAGTTTGATCCCCAGTAAAAAAAAAAAGAGAGCCTAGAAATGCAGAGAAAGAACATTCCAGAGAGGAATGGCATAAATAAAGATCTTGGGTTTGGAGATTTGTAATGTGAAAGAAGAAATGACAGGAGGCCAATGTGGCTGGACCAGAATATGGAAGGTGGGGGAATAATAGATTTGGCGGTTTTACTCTGAGTTGGGAAGTCATTTCCGGGTAAGTCTTTGGAGGATAAATCCAGGAGATCTGAGCAGAGGGGTGACCTCACGTTTATGTTTAATAGGATCACTTTAGCTGTACTGAGAATTAATGGTGGAGTGGCAGAGCAAAAGCAGGGAAACCCATTGGACATTTTTTTTTTTTTTTTTTTTGGGTACCGGGGATTGAACTCAGGTCCTTGCGCCTGCACAGCAGGTGGCAAAACCACTGAGCTAAATCCCTGGTCCCCATTGGACCTTTTTAAGAATCCAAAGAAGGGATAGTGGCATGTTGATGCTGACCATTGGTTATGGTTGTAGTGGGATACACTCAAATTCTGGATA